GCTACAATCATCCTCACTTTTGATGGCTAAAAGCAATTTTAGGTCGTCTGCAAATAATAGACACTTAGCCTCTCTTACTACTTCTGGTAAATCATTAATCATTATGTTGAACTTTAACGGACCTAAATTACTGTCTTAGCTCACACCAGATCTAGTAAAGTAAGGCTCCGACCGGTACCCACCGTACTCCACATACTGTTTTCTATCTTTCATGTAACTCGCAAAAAAATGAAGCAGTTTAGGTGTGCAGCCAATTTTCGCCATCTTTGACAATAGGATATCGTTATCTACCAAGTCGAACGCCTTTCTGAAATCAAAGTAGGCGGCATCTACCTGCAAACCTGCATCGACATGAGGAACTAAATAAGTCATGGCATTTAAGAGGTTACTGGTTGTGCTCCTCTCTGTCCGGAAGCCGTGTTGGGCGTCTGATAACTGCGGTGCAACTTGTTCCCGTACACTTCGCTGGATGGCTCCCTCAAACACCTTCGCAGGTGTTGAGAGAATCGCCACTGGTCTGAAGGATTCAATCGTAGATTTGTTACCCCCCTTAGGTATCGGAATAACACGCGTGATTTTCCAACTTTTTGGAAAATATGAATTCTTTAGACATAAGTTGAAAATGTGTAACAACGGTTCCGCTAGCACTGAGCGGCAGTCTCTCATCACAAAGGCCGGTATACCGTCCGGGCCCGCCGAGCGTTTTGGTTTGAGCCGGGCAAGCGCCGCGCGCACCTCGCCGAGCTGTAGCTGCGGCACGTGCACGCGCGCGCTGCCCGCGCCGCCAGCCGCCACCGCCTCGCCTACGTCCAGACGTGCTGGCTCGCTGTTGTATACTGAGTAGAAGTATTTGGCAAATTCAGTCGTACTTTCTTGATCTGACAATGCTACTCCATCTTTCAATATTTGTTTACGTTTAACTGCCCCTTTTTTGCCCTAATATGATCCCAAAAAGACTTAGGATCCTTTGCCAAGTTACTTTGCACACGATTCTGATAGTTTAGGTATGCGCTATCAATACTTTTCTTAATTCGCGCCCTGCAAGTAGAAAAAGCTTCGTAATCAGCACGAGATCCGGTCGATTTATATCGCTTGTGAAGCTTAGCCTTTAATTTTATATCCCTAATTAAATCACTAGTATACCACTCGGGGTAATGTCTTTGATCTACTTTCATTTTCCGCTTTTTCGGTACACAATTATCTAAAACACCGTAAAAAACACTATAAAAAGACTCCAAAGCTTCCTCTGGTTCCTGTGTCTCGGTAATCAAACTCCAATCAGCGGAAGCTAATAAAGAATAAAATAAGTAAAAATCAGCTTTATAAAAATTCCATTGTGGTTCAATTTGGCTTGCTGATGTTTCACTGTCTAAAGCAATGGGCTAAATGGGGTAAAAGCTTTTATAAAAGTGACATTATTCATAATATGTTATTCTCAAATTGAATTATACAATTGATTGTAATGTGTTGTTATTTAAATTAATTATTGTGTGTTGTAATTACTAATATTATTATCTTTTACCATTTAAATTATTACTTTATGCTTTATGATGTATTCCAATAACATAGTTTAATTGTATTATTATTATTATTATTTTGAATTGAGATGCTACATTTATCGATTTAGGTTTTTCCCTGTAATCGTAGATGTTAGTAGGAAATATAAATAAATAAATAACATGCTCGTATCTATTCTTTACTTCTCTAGCCCCAATTCCTAACGCTGCTTGGATAATGGCCATACATTGAACTTGCAAAACCGGAGTTTGATTGACTGACTCAATAAAATATAATTAATTAGTAATACTTACTTTCCGTGGTAGAGCCATGCTGCAGCTATATTAGTAGTATAGTTGTAGCACAATATCGAATCGAGGTATATACTTTACGGCATTTTTATTGAAAACAACTTCGCCATAATATTCACGATATGGGTGTTTCCATAAAATTAGGGCCACTTTTGGAAATAATTTGTCTTCATTAAATTTAAGATGCTATTGCATATAATAACAATGTATATAATGGAAGATTAATTTATTATGTCATACCTAAAAGGGCCAGTCACTTTATGTAGTATTTTAAAAGAAATTTAGAGTTTTGTGAATTTAGGCATCTAGGGACTGACTATTATGGTTAGGGACGGATGAACAATAACTATATTATAATAAAATAAGATGTGTAGAGATTTTGAGATATAGTTATTAATATTTTCATGTACAACACAGACACAAGTATCACGATCGATAAGTTTAGGGGGCACAACCCAGAATGAATATAATTCGACAAAATAATGAATACCTAATTGTCAAAGTATTTGTTCGAAAAAATATTTTTTGCAAATTTTTCAAAGAATCGAACAAAGACTGTTTTTGTTTGTTGATTCCATTGCAAGTAATACACTCCTTTTTTCCTGCTGCAGTGAGACTATTACTAGCATCTTCGTAGAACCTGTGAATGGTTTGGACTACTCCATTTTTCTTAGCTTTAATTTTCTTTTTAGAAATATTGCACCGAAACTTATATGTTATACAGCTACTGCCGAATCGCTAAAGTTTATATTTGTCAACATTTGGTCCATACAAAAGCCGATTGAAATTTGATTTCTCTTGATGAGTTTTAGCTTTTGAAAAATGTTCTATAATTTAGGCCTGCAAAACTTACTTCTCTTCCTTTTTGACCAATTCTCTACTTTGATTGGGATCTTTAGTCATTCATTCAATTTTACTTTTATGTGTTTGTAATTTCTTTAAATTTTAATTTTTTTTATCTCAGTCTATTGTATTTCTTCTGTTTCGTGTTAAACTTTTTCTGTAAATTAACAATAGTAGCGCATTTTTTGTAACACTTTATTTCTTAAATCGTTGATGAAGGCTTCTTCTTTTACCTTCAATTAGTCTAAGATCACCATTCACATTTTCGTTGTTTCTATTATTAATCAGCGGTTCTGGAGCTATATTTTTGTGGGTACCGTATTCACAGTCACAGTCACAAACATTTCTAGCTTTTTCGTTCTTTCTATAATCAGATGAGTACTTCTTCCACTCTTTTCTAATTTTGCTTTGCTCAAGAGGGGTCATATCCTTAACAGTTTCGCTATCCATTCTCCTTCTTTTTTAGATATTTTAGTCTTTCTTTCTCTATATTCAGCCAACAAAACTGGATTGCTTTTATTATGGAGTGCTTTTGTAGTAGCAGATTTTTTATAGCTATTTCCTCTTAAGACAAACTTTGGCTTCTTTGCAGGCGACATGTTGCTATAAAACAGATAAATAACACTTATATAACTAAAAAAATATAACCAATAAGTGTAGATAAACTTTCTAATCTCGTAGTCTCAGACCACCTTGTTCGGTCCGGATTCGAATTCCCGAAAGGGCAAGCTTTGGATCTAGTTTTATGCATTTGTAAAAATAATAGTCTATATATTCATATTTCATTTTAATAACTTGTCTAGTTCTACTAAGTAAATAAACATATTCAAGGATAAGTCAATATGTGTAGTTGTCCTATAAAAGTTACATAATTATAAGTGAACGTCAGTCCCTGACCACTTCCGTCAGTCCCTAGCACCATTCACAACTAGGGCCTGACGGCTCAGAAACTGACGATTCGGAGTAATACTAAGAAAAATATACTAATCGACCACCATACTACAACATTTAACATTATCTACCGAACAAGATCTGTAAATCACTTGTAAATATTTATCAATTGATGTCAATTTCCTATTATTAAACTATAAAATTACTTACCTAGGGACTGACAAAGTGACGGGATCAACACGTGTTTGCACATCAACTGCCGCGTTTGCACAGATTTACAGAACAGCCGTTGCACGGGGAGTGTAGTTTGCGGATAATATCATCTCTTTCTTTAAAATGAACTGGTGTACATTCACTCTTCACTCATATTATGCCACGAAATTTTAAAATCCGTTATTGGCTAGGGACTGATGATTAAAATTGAAGACACTAATTTCGACTTTAGGAAAAATCTTAATTGGCTTTTTAAATTACAAAAATTGATGAAATTATTTGTAAGTACTTTAATATTTAACAATGGTAAAGATAATTAAAGTAAAATTAATTGTTTTTCGAGATATGGATGCCCAAACACAAAATTTTGGTGCGCGGACATGGCAAGGGACTGACATTTGGACTCAATAAAAATGATTACAAGGGTGTAGTATATTACTATTTTAAACAAAGTTTGGGGAATAAATAAAACACATTCTGAACTGTTACTTAGCAATCTTAAAATAAAATAATTATTAATCATATCAAGTAAAATTGCTGCGGACACAGAGTTGCCCGATTTTTGTGGAAACACCCATATATAGAAATTATAACATAAAACGTAATTTTGGCACATTGGACTTAGTGGAATATGAAATTTGTTTTTTTACATTATTTATAGTTATAACTCACACTTTATATTTGATTTTCAGTTCCTTCTGACTAATTTATTTCATATGTGAACGTAATCTATAATATTGTTACGAAACAAAATATAAGCAAATAATTAAAAAAAAAAACAGTGTAATTACTTACCTTTTATATAAAAAACTAATTAACAAACTTTTTTTTTGTACCTACTTAATTTTTTTAAAATTGAAGTTGCCTCTTGCACTTACGCGGTGAAGGAAATAAGACTTAAATATATGAAGTAAACGGGACGGTAAAGCCGCAAACTCGTCATTTGAAGTACATTCTCTTAAATTAGAAAAACGTAATTTAGTAACGAATCTAATATAATACAATAAGTTTTTTTTAATGAAACTAATTCTAATAAAATTTTTAGAATTTTAGTTGCATAATTCTTATAAATAACATGTAAATAAAAATTGTTCTGTGCACTCTATCTCTTATCCATTGTTCTGAGTAAACATAGTGATTATATACTCTTTGGCGGGGTCTACAAAATTATCACGGGGGAGACCGAGGTGGACCGGTGGGATTTAACAGGTTAGAATTATATTTTTACTCTTTTTGTTCCATCAGCCAAAATTGCTGCAGTATCAGGAGACATGAGACGAGCACTTGACATTGGTAAAAGGGTTATTGAACTTGCGAAACGCACCAAATTTGCAGAGAATCAATGTGTTGAAACCATAATGCGGGATTCCAACGTAACAGTAGAGCTCAAACAAGTGTTAGAAGTGTTAAATGATGTTTATGGAGGTGGTAGAAAAATAGAGAACGAGCTAGAGGAAAGCTTGCCCATGCAACAGAAATTAATATTGTGCAGCATAATGTTAATTTTAACGAAAGGAAAAAATAAGGATTTGACAATGGGAAGACTTCATGACGTTTATAAAAGGTAAGTTAAATTTTCCATAATGCTTATAGTCCTAACATAGATTATGTTGTCAGTTTTCCTTTTTTTTTGTATATATATTTGAGCTTACCATCAGGTGGATTGTGTGCACGTTTGTCGTCATTATTCCATTAAAAAAAGACCTATTATATTATGTATGGAGTATAGATGTGTGTATGTATACGATATATAGGTTTGTGTCAATGAATCTAAATGACAGGGTGAGAAATTGTGTAAAGAGAAAAGTGTAGTTTGCAATATGATGTTGTGACCAGGAATAGGATAGGAATGCTTGGTGATTTAGTCATGTAGAAAGAATGAACGGGAAATATATGTTGCATATGTGAAGTAGATTCGGGTAGGGATGCCCTAGACGAAAGTTTATTGACCAATTTGGCATTATATTAAAGATGGGCTAGATTAAGAGTACCCTTAACTGACGACCGATGGTGAGGTGTGTCAGGATTGTGTCAAATGGAAGTTTGTAGTCTCTGTCTGCCCCTCTGGGGTGACAGGCGTGAGTGTTTATGTAGTATGTATATCAGTGACACGTTGACAGAGTGGCGACATCGCGCAACATCGCCCCAATGGACATAGGCGAGATGGCGGGCGCGTGCTTGCTGCTGGAGGCGCGCGGGGCGCTGCGGGTGTGCGGCGCGGGCGGCGCGGGGGGGCGGGCGCGCCGCCTGCGCCTGCACTGGCACGAGCCCGAGCTCGTCGCCGCGCTGCGCGACAAGCCGCTGCTCTCCGCCATACTGAATGACGTCACATGCTTGTCTTCCAACTGACGCACCAGACGCGCATCTCAAATCCAGTAGCGGAGCGCTTCACACATGAAGACAGTTTTGACGCCGACAAGACCTAAGGTAGACTAATTAGCTTATATCTATGTTCTATAGATAAGTTTTTTTTGTAAAAGGTAAAAAAAACACAACACTGAATTTAAGAGCCTAATTAGCAACACACTGAACCGGTTAATACTAATATATATAGTGTCGTGGGGGCTACACTACAACCTAATAGCTTCTTTTTTTCGTTAATAACAATTTATTTTAATTGTGTTAGCCGTTAACGTTAAGACAAGAATAAATATGACGCTCGAATAAAGTAATGTATGCTGGTATAGTAAAAATTATGCACACGCGTGCAAGTAAACATTTGCTTTCGGACAAAGTTAGAATCCTGAATTCAGTGTAGTGTTAATAAGTTTAACACAGTGGTAACTTAAACACGGTGACGTAGCTGGCCTTTCACTCCTGGAAGCAATGTTAATACTGAGACCACAAGTAGGCTGACTACGGTACTTCATATGCCTGTGTTCTATAGATAAGTTTATTTTTTGTAAGTGTTGTATAGACTGATTTAGTTAGTGTTGTAACATATTTATTTTATAGTGTGACTCCTCAGACCAAAATTATAAGATAGGCAATGTGTGTGCAAATTTTTTTATAGGATAAGGGTGACAAACGAGCACACAGTCCACCTGATGGAAAGTGGTTGCTGTGGCCCATAGACATCTTACATCTATCCTCGATTACGAATCAAAATGCAGATGCAATCTTAGTCCTCAAGGGTAATTACTCTTGAGGACCAACATGGAATGCCTCGTTTCCAGTAAAAAGGGGCTCTGGTTCTCTACACTCACCATATGAAACACAGCATTGTTAAGCTGCTAGTTTATGCTGCTACTCTGTGAGAGCGTTGTTCTTGCCCGGTCGAGCCGACCCATTCATTCTACAACTATACCACTAATAAAGCTGCAGCATGATTCTACCACGTAAAAACTAATAAGTGACATCTGTAAGTGAGTGTCACTTATTAGATACTCTCTATATCTTATTAATTTGGTTTGAGTGTAACATCTAATGTCTGCATAGATCTTTATTGGAATTAACTTTCATCCAAATTTGATAGAGATTTCTAAAGCCACAGATGCACTGCCTATATTTATCCTCCCTCTTAACCTTCAAACCGGAAAAGAACAAGTACTTGGCAGCAGAAATAGTGCATAAAGATTTTTAAAGAGGTTGGCACGAGATAAAGTGTATGTAGCCTGTAAATAAGACACGCGGCACCATGTTAGTCAAATTCAGAAAAGAATAGGGTGACGCACTGGCAGTGTGTATTTTTACACAAAACATTTTGAGTTACTATCGACCCCCTTAAAACTTTAAAAATATTAGACGGATATAGTTGTGATTGGATATATGTCTCATAACACCCCTTAATTAGAATCCCAATTTCCATGAATAAATCTATTAAAATCCTTGCTGGTCTAAAAAGTGCCTACCTTTTTTATCACTCAATAACTGACTTACTCATTAAAAGCATAAGTCACTTCTAGATGACTTAGATATTTGAAATTTGGCGTCAAGGTAGAAAAAGGAAAAATCTGAAATCTACAAATTATTGTTAAACGGTGTTAAAGAGTTTTGACAAAGTGAGTGTAGCGAGTAGTTGCTAGTTACTGTACTTGAAACTAACCACACCAATAACTATGTCGACATTTAATTAGTGAAGCGTAAATATAAGAAAAAACGTCGAAGATTATGTTCTTGCTGAAGATAAATAAAATTATTAAACTTTTTAAAAATACCGATATCTCAAAAACATAAATGTGAAAAAGGTGCCAAGTTCTGTACAAACGACGATCATCGGAGTTCTCAGCTTCGCCAAAAAATAACGTTGTACTCTGAACGGGTACCGAGTTCCATAACAGTTTCTTAATCATAGATAGAAATGTAAACATTCTTCAATTGTTTTAAAATAAATTTTTTCCTTAAAAATGTTACATTTATGACTTGGCAAATTTTAATAGTCAATAAATTGCATTTATTTTAATGATAATTAATTACAAGTCAAAATTATATCCCCCAAATCCCATGTTAAAATAATTTACTGGAATTTATTACTTTGTTACTTTAAACTTATTGATTTAAGTCTTAAAAATACTATCGTAAGTCAGAATTAGAGTTTTCAACTCATTTTGGGCAACCCCATAGATTATGTATACTGTAGTGAAACTATAAAAAATAGAAAAGTTATTTTTCCTACTATCTTTATATGTGTAAATTGTGAGATAATAATTTTTAAAACAATTGCATTTATGTTACATTTAGTAGATCTTGCTGTATATATATATATATATATATATATATATATATATATATATATATATATATATATATATATATATATATATATGCTGCATATATATTATATATGCAGCAAGATCTACTAACATATTTTTTATTTGAACCCTGGGATGCCTTCGAGGGTAATACTTTGTTTAATACAAAACTATTCTGAGATTCGATTTCAATGAAAAGTATTCTAGAATAAAGTAAATTTATCAAATTTGTGTTGCATAACTTAATTGTTATTTGTAAGATGTGTTATAATATTGACCTACTTATATATTTTTATGTTTAATTTACTTTTATTTTTATTGTATAAATAACATTTTTATATATAACATTAAACTTTGCTGATGCTCTATAATGACTTAGTTGATAATTAATGAGAAATTGCTTCATGTTTTTATTTATTAATGTGTTTCATCCTAGAGTTTGTCTCGACTCCAGCCAGGGCTTACCTTCCTACTTTATTAAAATGCTTACTGCGCCTTTATAATTGAATGTTGTGTCAAAAACAAATGTTTTTGGAAATAGCCATAGGTAAAATAGGAGTTTATATAACATCCCGTGATATGTTTAATAAAACTCCAGCTTAAATTGCATGAATAGTGTGGATATGTATTGTAAAGTCGTTTTTTTTTTAATTTTAAGTCTCAATTATGTTGAAAAGTGATTTTTGTAATTATGCTTTATTATTTAATATTTTTGTATTACTTATTGTTGTATTTTTAAGGAACTGACCCAACGTTGTTTGCATTTTATTTATTGTATACCATATATGAATTAATAATTTCACAATAAAGATGAACCTTATAAAAAATTATTTCATTACTATAATTTTCCTATATACTCACGATGCAAACATACTTCCAGAATCTTTATATATTTTTATAAATAGTTAACATACGGAATACTTATTTTCTAATATTTCGTGAGTAAAAGTTTAAATCACAATATAGTCCTGGAAGGTGTCGACTCGCAGGATAATTTGAATTAATTTTAATTAACCAACAATCAATGAGGAGGAAAGGTTATCTAGTTGCAGCCTCTTTCGGGTAAGCGGAGTGTATCTCCCCGCTCCGGTAGAAGGAGTGACCAAAAAGTACTCTGTGGGAGTGACGACCTTGTAAGACATGCGAGAAGTCGATGAATGGAGGTAGCTTTAGACCGCGTTAATTGTATTCCTTATTTAGCCTGTTTAGATGATTACAGATACAGAAATTATGATGATCATAATGATATGCATAATAAAGTATGTAATGTTATAAATATTTTAGAAGATAAATTATACCTTCTTATAAAATTGGACATGTACCTATGTATCCGAACCTTAAAAAAAATACAGGAGGGTACCTACATGGAAAGGTTAGCGAAGACCGGGACTAAATGGAATCCTGACAACTGCAACGGCAAATTAAACTTATATAAGATTTTTAATTCTTTATCTATGTCCAAAAAATGTCGACGCTTGACGTAAAGTAAAATATACGTAATGTAGATAGATAAAAAATATATAGGCCCTATAAAGTACCAACTTTTTTGTGTTATTTTGAGAGCTAAGGAGAGTCAGGGAGTTACGAAATGGCGGCGATCAAAATACTTTTTAAAAAGAATAAAATTAATTTAAATTCACAATAGTTACAAAAGTAATAAATTCAATTAAAATGTAAAGTTACAAAGAAGTTAAGTTAAGCGTGGATGGTGTCAAATTGTGAGACAGTTCTATTGTCTCCACGGCGATCCTTTCCGCAGCGCAAGCATTCCTCATTTACCCATTGTTCGGTATACTGCTATGTCAGCCCGATTCCAGGGTTACGACACGTTAACTCTTCCCTCCCTACGTTGGAAGCTGGTTCTGCAGCTTCCAGGAGCGTCCTTGCGACTTTACTCGATCGCTTATTCCAATTGTATATCTTCCAGATTGCAATAGATGCTGCTAGTATGTAGAGGAGCACTGTAGACCAGCTGGGAATTGCCATCATATAAGACCAGTTCCAGTTTTCTATTTCTTGAATCTCTTCAACCTTGTTCATAAGTTCATGGACACTATCTAGTGAGATGTCTTTCAGATGTATCTCGTACTGGACTTCTTCCTGGTTTATTAGGTTCTCGTTGGGTAGAGGGATGACTTCGTCCATCGAAATGCTGCTGGTGTGTGTTCTTATTGTTGTATTCATGATATTAACTTGACAGTCCTGTGTTAGGTTGATGAAAAATGTTCCTGATAGTTTCCTATATTCTGTTTTCTGTCCGCATTGTGTTTTTATAATTTCTGGTTCTGTTGATACTAGCAATCACTTATTTTCGTTAATCTTCTGCAATTTCCCTCGCTTCAGATTCATGCGTGCACGAGTGCAGTTACCTTCTTTATGCTTGATGAGTGAGATGATGCAGTCTTTAGATTTCTCTATGGCTCTAGTATCCAGTGATTTGCAGAGCCAGGTGTCTTCTGACAGCTTCTTGCAATCTTCTTCCAGGTAGGCGTACTCATCGCTTCCAAGTGCGAGGAATATGGATTTGGGTATAATGGTTAGGTTTAGGTTGTTTGGCAGGGAATATATGTGTATATAATCATATAATATAGGTTGGATGGATGGGATTTCTAATATAAATGTTAAAGAATGTTCTGTACTATAGGCTTTAACGCTAAT